CTTCTCAATTTCAAGTTTAAAAATTACGCAATGATTTGTTATTGTAGTAAAAATGAAGAAGGAAAAGACAGTAAGTTAATATGATAGAGGGAGAGAACATCATCGTCCCACAAAACTGTTGGATCATCTTGTGTATTAATTTAATTTTAATGTGTGAAATTTGCTAGGTTTGGACACTTTTAATGTAATTTTCTTTAGATTCTTGAAATTTGAACAATTGATTCCATTTTAAAACTTTAGAGACAGGAATATATTTAGCGAATGCTCTAGATCAGTGTTGTCTAAACTGTGTGCCGCGGCACTCTGGTGTACCGTAGAAATTTTTTGAAAATGACACAAGCCAGATGGTGTGTGCGACGTTGGCATGGCTTAAACCTAAGGTGTGGCGTGGCTCAAAAAGTTTGGACAGCACTGCTCTTGATTAAAGCTCAGTAAACGATCATCCAGTGTAGCGAGACTAGAACTTGAGTAAAACCAATGCAGAGCAATGAATTTCTAAACTAAAATTAGTCAAACGATACATTCCTAATGTGCAAAATTCAATATTTTCCATATTTTCTATAATATTTTCACGATTGTCAAATTTGAATATAAACACGTCCGTACTCCGGTCGTTGACTTTAAAAAACAATTTTTGTATACAACAAACTTCCAAATACACAATTTTATTTATTCAGTTGTCACAAATTTGGTAGTAATAGGCATGAAAATTGTCAAGGAAACTCCAAATTTGTACTAAAAATTAATGTCGACTCACAATTGTCAACCCAATCTCAATAAAGTTAACAGGAAGATAAGATATCAAAAAGTTTTAAAACCACCTCCCCTGATAAATCTATAAATCCACTTGCCACAAATAGATTAGACATTAAAACTTCTTGAGAATGTCGCAAAGTATGTCTGGCTAAGAGCCGGTCAATAACCTCTTTAGCTATTTCACAGTTATTCTTCAGGTAGTTCAACATAAATCTTAAATATTCAAAAAAATTGGATCTTCAAACAAACAAGCAGATAATTTATGCATAAAACATTTTCTCTCCATCATATCGCTAACTGTAACTTGATTCCGTCTGTATTTTCAACTCGATTCGCTTCTAATTACTTCCACATTCATATGAATTTAATTACATATATGAGATTATATAACAGAATCGTCTAATTTTTTTTTACTAGAAATTAAATTGACTCTAATAGAGTCTCAACCTTGTACAGAAAAATATAAAGTCAGCACGATATAACTTTCATGTTTGATGATCAATGACGAATGATCGTTGGAGTAAGCGAAGAGGAAAAGATGTCAAAATGTTGGAATGAGTAAGGGAGAGAATAAATCTCGTAATACACATTATATTATTCGCTTTTGCAACGGTTAAAACTCGTTCTCGTCTTATTTCCTTATTCTTAAGATTATTAAGATAGGTCTTGAAGTTTACAGCTATTCCATTCAACAAGCCGTATTATAATATATAGGTAAAATTTTCTTTCTTCTCTTTTTTTCTCGTCGTCGCTCAGGGAAGCGGCAATAATGACTGTAAATTGACTGGTTGATTGTAATGAGTATGTATCATTGGATGTAGTCACACCGTCAGTTTGAAAGCTTGTTTTAAAATTCTGTAAATGTCGTTCTCAGACAGACAGATAGAGAAGAACTAATGAAGATACAGCAATACCTCAACAACAGTTAATCGACATCCACAAATAACGGTGCGACTCTATAAGAACAATCTCAAATCCCTGATCAAGGAACTTTCATACCCAACACACAATTTATGTCATCATCCCAATTTATTTATTTTTTCTTATTCTTTCAGTATTTTACTGGGACACGATCGTTCTCGTGTGTACTTTGGGATGGTTGGATGAAGTAAGACTACAAATTACAACAAAAATGAAGAGGAGAAATTTTTTGTGTTAAGTACACAACTTAAGAATGGTAAGACGTAAAGATTGAGGTAAGAATCGTAATGGAAAGAACGATACAAAAACGACCAAGTGAGAATTAAAAGAAAATGAAAAGTGTTGAGCAAACAAAGGAATAAAAAATAAAAATTGATAAAATAAATAAATAAAAAACTTGCATTGTTATGATATCGCATATTTTCTTCCTTAAGGCTTACCACACGCGCTTCCATGAGGTAATTTGACCTCATTTTTACATTGTTAATAAGGCTTTGTGTTTGACCACAAATCATTGGATTTTGTAGAACAAAGCGGTTATTTAATGAGGTGTAAGATGCTTAGGAAATTTTTTAGGATTGGCAATTTTATTTGACCTATTTTACGTGCTTTGCAGTGGGTTATGAAGTAAGAAGAATTCAATGAGCAATAATTTTTGCAGATCTTTAGATGACTGAGTGAAAAATGACCTATTTGAAGCAATTGATTTGGCATTTTTGTTGGGTGTTGCATGATTCGAACTTCTCAATGATGGAGCGGAAGGAGTTATCTCGCATGTTAGATATCCTTACGAGAAAGATGATGGGAAGGAATTTGATCCTCCATCATTAGACGAGGTAGCAGCAGCTATCAGCGGCCTAAAGAATAATAAGGCGCCAGGTCTAGATGGCTTACCTGCAGAGCTTTTCAAGACTGGATGTGAAGAATTAGTTATTACTCTTCACCAGCTGATTGAGCGTGTGTGGATGGAAGAGAAGCTACCTGAGGAATGGATGATCGGTGTAATTTGCCCGATTCACAAGAAAGGATGTAAGATGACATGCTCGAACTACCGAGGGATTTCTCTTCTCCCTTCGGCTTATAAAGTGCTCTCGAAGATTCTATCCTCAAGACTTGAGCCTCTCACAGAAGCTTTCCTGAGTGAATATCAAGCAGGTTTTAGACGGCAGCGATCTACATCTGACCAAATCTTCAGTATTCGGCAAATCGTGCAGAAGAGCTATGAGATGAATGTAGAAACACATCATCTATTTATTGACTTCAAGGCAGCATATGACTCAATAGATCGGGAAGGGCTGTGGAATATCATGGCGGAGTTTCATTTCCCGCATAGAATGATAAGATTGCTCAAAGCAACCTTAGCGAAAGTCATGTGTAGTGTCAAAGTACAAGGCTCAACATCAAGTTTGTTTGAATGCAGGATTGGTCTGAGGCAGGGAGATGAACTGTCAACTAAGCTTTTTAACATTGCGCTTGAAGGAGTTTTCAGGAAAGCTGGTTTGGAATTAAATGGTACAATCTTCACAAAGTCAACTCAGCTTCTTGGTTTTGCCGACGACGTAGACATTGTTGGACGTAACATCAGATCCGTTACCGACGCTTACTCCAAAATAGAAAGAGAAGCTAACAAGATCGGGCTTCGTGTGAATGAAGACAAAACAAAGTTTCTCATGGTGGCAGCATCTGAAAGAACGAGGAAGTTTGTTGGGTCTCATTTGTCAATTGGCAATAAAAGATTCGAAGTGGTAAATGATTTTGTCTACCTAGGGTCGATTATTAGCAACAATTTTGACACACAAGTGGAGATTAAGCGAAGGATCTTGGCTGCGCAGCGTGCATATTTTGCAATTAGACATTTACTAACATCGAAGAGAATAGCGAGAAATGCCAAACTAGTGATGTACAAGACACTAATACGCCCAGTAGTGTTGTACGGTTCTGAGTCATGGAATATGACTATCGCAGATGAGAACGCAATTGGTGTATTTGAGCGTAGGGTCTTGCGAATTATATTTGGACCGAAGAGAGAAGGTGACTTTTACAAAAGCAGGAGTAACGCAGAATTATATCAGCTTTTCAATGAAGCTGATATCGTACGACGAATCAAAGTCAACAGACTCCGTTGGGCTGGACATGTCGTTAGGAGACCTGTTGAAGCTCCCATTAATAAAGTCTTTAAGAATGTTTTTGTAGATGGCAAAAGAACACGCGGGCGACCCAAGAACTCTTGGAAAGAAGCTGTTGACAGAGACAGTATTGCATTTGGTATGGTTAATTGGCAAACGGAAGCCAGCGACAGAGTCAGCTTCAGGCGCTATCTAAGGGAGGCCATGGATCACAATTGATCTGTACGGCCAGCGAAGTAAAGTAGTAAGTTGCATGATTCACGGATAATTTTTTTTTGTGGTTTTTTTTATGAATTTAAATTATTTTTGAAAGCTTAACAATATTTAAAATGCAAGAATGAAAATACATATTTTGAATTTTGATCTCTGCAAACCTTAATGTGAGATAAAAGTTGCAAATAACATTGCAGAATGAGTCCAGGACTAATCCCAATTTTTATAGCTTCAATTCACTTTAATAAACCAGCAAGATTAAGATTTATTTGACTAATCTAAATGTTTAACGATTATATATTGTGATCTTAAATAAAACTAGCCATTTTATAGCTTGATTATGAATTATTTTCATGACTCAAACAAAACAATAAATAATTCTTGAGAATAATTCTTGAGAAAATTTGAGTTTGTCAGGTATGTGTGTGTGTGTACAGGGACACAATAATTGCTGTTAAAGTCATTTCCTTTCCTAGATTGGCATTATTAAGGCTGATTGAATTTCAAGCTTTTCAAAAAGCTTAATCAAACAATTATTTCTGATCAAATCAAGTGAGTATTCAAATGTCAATGGAAAATTGACTAGTTTTTGAAATAAAATAATAATTTTGAGCCTTTTTTGAAAAAAGTATTCCAGAGGAAGAAACCATCACTTCAGAATCATTCAGTAAATTCATTTCTAAGTATTCGACCCTGATGATATATGCAGCCGCAATATAACTGTTAAACTTCATTATTCTGCTTTAAATTGTATGACTAGCTTCATTTAAAAACACCTGAAGTAATTTTTGCTGCAATTTCAATGATTTCAAAACAAAAAACTCGAGTTTCAACCCCTTAAAAAAATTCATTCCAACCGACAAAGCATTAAATGAAACCACATTTTCCGCATAGAAAATTACACAATATAATAATTCGTCATGGGTTGTCGAGATGCACAACGAAATGTAAAAATAATGATGAATATGTAAAAAAAATACTTACAGAATATTTATGCAAATACAAGTTTCTAATTATATCCATGGCTATTTGATGATTCAATTATCGAGATTTGTGTTGTTGTTGTTTCTTCTTGTTCACTTCCTCGTTTCAAAATGATGCACTTAACATTAACGCCAATTATACGTGTGCGATATTCTACTTTCGTGCGCTTAATTATTTATTGCTATTCTAACTAGTCAATTGTATCGGCTCGTCTGTCTGCTTGCTGATGTTCCTCTTCTTTGTTTATTTTATACTTTTTATTGTTATTAATATTTTTTCTTTTTATTTTGCTGGTACAATTTGTATGAGTTTTTAGATTCTTAAGAGCTTATTTTTTGGATTCTATAGAATTTTTATATTTTTAAATGGTGATTTTTTTTCAGCTGCAATTGATTTTGTTTCTATTGTTTGTTGAGTTCTGCAGAATTTTGATGAACTTTTCAATGTACGAACACAATGATGTCTGAAGCACTTTTGTTATTGTTTATAATTATTTTTTGTTGTTGTTAGTGTCTATGCGATTATTTGAGCTTTGTATGATTTTTTTTCAAGGCTTGTTGAACTTTTTCAGATTCTTTTTTTCTGCTTTAATGTTTTAAAATGTTTTTTTTTCCTTTTTAAAGTTATCACAATTATCTAGAAAATTTAAATTTTGAAAATATATAAAAATATAAGGTTTGAAAATTTAATTTTTTTGAAACTTGATTTTTTTTTAAATTTTTTGCCACATTTCAAAATTTGAGCTTATTTAAATTTTAAAATCTATATTCAATAATTTTCCAAAAAACTTTCAATTCAAAATTTCAAATTTTAATTTAAATTACGATTTTTTTAAGTTTTAAAATTTGAATTTTAATTTCAATTTTTTCCCAATTTCAATTTTTTTATTTTCAGTATAAAAATTTTCTGAACAAATTTATTTCAGTTCCTATTAATATGAAAAATTTAAATGTCTGCAATTTTAAACTGCTGCATTTATTTATTTTTTTCTTTGTTGTTTCCAGCAAATTACAATTTTTTCACATTTAAATCCAAAAGCACTAGACTATAATCAAAACATTCCCATCAATAGCCAAAAAATACCTCGGCAACAAAAAACAGTCTGTTGCGTCTGACCAATTTTTTTATTGTCTGCAATTTTTATGTCAAAAAAAAATATTTTTTTTCTATCAAACTAGCAAAAAAAAAATTCTTATTGCCGAAAAAAACGTATTTTCTACACTATCGGTTATTCACACTCGCTGATGATTAAATGGCTTACAAAATATTTTTAATTGTGCAGAAAAATCGATGTCGTTATCAATAAAAAATTGATAAAAAAATTGGCTTTATCAAAAACGACAAAATTGAACGCACTTAATATTTTTTTTTATTTTTATCCGCACACACAATTTTTTTTCTAGGTCCCGCAATTGCGTTACTTAACAAATTTAACAAAAAAAAATTATGAAAAAGTAAAATAAAAATGCTGACTGCAAAGCGAAGACAGTTCCACACACTTCAAAGTTTTATCGATAAATGAAAATGTTTTGTATATGGAATTTCTGTTTGCTCGCTGTTTGTGGAGCTGTTGGAGCTTTCGTTTCGATATGTATGGGGGCATGTAGTATGGAGGAATTGAGAAAAGAAGATTTTTTTTCATATTTTCTTCTTAGTTTGAATAAAAAAATATAAAACTTGAAATTGATGCCAAATTGTCTCAAATGGAGCCCACAACGTTCTAGCGACTGTCCCATAATACAAACATTCTTCTACCATCGTCATCAGCTTTTGTATGAGTAACGTATATTGTAACAAAGAAAAAGAAAATTATAGATATTTTGTAAAAAAAGTGCACACAATACAACAACAAATATGGAATGGAATAAGCACGGCATAGAAGAAATGAACATTTACTTCTTCATGTTTCCGACCTAAAAATCTTAAACTTGAAATGAAAGAAGAAAGAAAGCAAAAAAAAGCGTTACACGGTCGGTCAATTTATATATATATATTTGCTCTATGTAGATGTGGATAGATCTGTATGTATATATAGATATAAGTATACAATACATATAGGAAGCATAAAGCGAAAACGAGTTGAGTTGATTTTTGTTCTATGTGGATGATAATGTGGCGCATTTAAAGTGGAATAATGAATTTTTCAATTTTTTTGAATATTTAATTTAATATTCTTTAACAAGCTTCAAATATCAATTAACTCCTTAAATGCTCAAGTGTTTTAAAAGCTCATTTGAGTTTAAAATGATTTGAATCAAATACATTGGTTCGAATCTCTTTGATATGAATGATTTTCAGAAGTTTAGATACTCAGCTTTTTAAGATCTTTTGATAGATTTTGTAGACCAAAAATAAATTTATTTAATCGAACCCAAGCCCAACCCAAGCCCTGACTTTAGAAAGTATGGTTGGATTGAACGTACACATTGCAAGAAAAATGATAGAGAGAATCTCAATGCTCGGACAGAAACACAAGTTTGTTCCACCGTCTATGGTTAGCATCCGCAAGGGAAAAGATGTCAAGAAGCTACAAAAGCTACCTGCCGCAGAACAGTGATGAAGAAATGTCAGTTTAATGTGTAGACAGAGAAATTGTACGAACTTTGTGACAGAGACAGCAACAGAGTCAGATGGAAAGCCTTTTGTTGTAACCTAAGCTCCACATAGGAGGTAACAGTAAGTAAGTCTTAGTTTTCTTTCTGGATTTATTAAGCATCCCAGATCAATGCATTAATGGATTCTCCAGGAAATATCAACAAGCATTTTCTTCTCAATCGAATTGATCACAATAAATCTCAAATTAATATTGCGTCAACAAAATGACTCAGAATTGTCACAATATTCTCACAATTCTTTTCATTAAGTGAGAATTTAATGAGATTAAAATTAAATAATCTCATTTTAATTATATAAATTTATTTATCAATTAGTTCTTGAAACGAAAGACATTAATCGACTTCTGTCTGACAGAAAAAAAAATCATTTCAGATTAAATTGACAAATATTTACTTTTCATTTAAATAATTCCTAATATTTAATATTTTAAAATGATGATCGTCAAAGAGTTTTTTTGCTTTCAACTTGAAACTGGAGGAAAAATAATAGGATGGTAAGTAATATTGAATAACTCGTGTTCAAAAAAATCAATTTTGTGAAATTTTAGGTTTGCGATGATTCTGTTTGCGCTTTTCATACCAATAAGCCTAATTGCAATCGCAATCACACTATTAATTCCATGCAGTCAACAGATTAGAATACAATTAGATGGTGCATTTTTAAATAACTTTGGACTAGGTTTTCAATTAAATGATTGTCAGAGCATTGCTTTAGGTAAGATTTTTGATTAAATTTGTCAATTGGTTTTTTGAGAGAAACTTAATTTATTTTATATTTCAGAAATTCTGTTGATGAGCTCAATTTTACTCCTTTTATCAATTGGATGTTTCTTTGTTTATTTACAACTCCTGAGAGGAATTTCCAGTGTAAATATAGAATCTTTTTAAAAATAATAACTACTTAATTTTAATTTTTTTGCTTCATTGTTTATAGCGAACGCACGAGCAAATCCTTCCTGCTCTTATTTTAGAAATTTTTTCATTAACATTGCTAGTTTTTGGCGAGCTTTTGTCATTCGATATTGAAGGACTTTTAGAAGCAATTATAACTGGATGCATATCATTTTATGTCTGCATAGTTTTGTATTCATTATATGTCAGATTTAGAGATGAAAAGATTGAAGCTAATGTGAAAGTAATGTACAGTAAGCCTGAGGGAATATCAGAAGATCTGCTCTTGGTTTAGATGAATTATAAAAAATCAATACAAACAATTTCAAAAAAATCGAGAAGCTTAATGATTTAATATTCTCAAAATTCTCATTTTTTAAACTCGTGTCTTAATCAACTATCTCACAAGATGTCAACGAATGAGCATGAAATTCTCTAGATTAATAAAACATTTAAAATCACTCAAAATTATTTATTTTTTAATGACACTTATCAGTTCAGTTGAAGATTGAATTTGTTTCAGCAAAGATTTAAAAATTTGGAATATTTTTTAGAGTCTCACAAAATGTTGACTGTTAAGAAATTTTTGTGTTTTAAATTGGAGACCGGTGGTAAAATTATTGGATGGTAGGTTTAAGATTGTTTTTTTTTGTGGAAAAAATGATGTTCATCAATTGTTAAATTTACCTTTTTTTGAGTTAAATGATTCAAATTTTTTCTTGTCCAAAAAAAACTCTAATTGTTGAATATCTTAAAAAACAGGTTAGGAGTAATTGGAAGTGGATTGTTGATTTCCGTTTTGATTTTATTAATGATAATGGTATCGTCTTTATCATGTAAAGAAATTAATCAATTGGATAAAAGATATGCAGATGAATTGACAGGAGAATTAGGACTAAATGATTGCCAGACTATATTCGGAGGTGGGGTTTATAATTCCTAATTTTTATTTTTCATAGGCGTAAGGTTATTAATTTTATTAATTTATATCATTTTAAATATTTCATAGCATTTATAATCATTTGCTCGATCCTAATTGCAATCTGCATGTTTGGTTTCGTAATCTACTTCCTTTTGCTTCGAGGAATCTCGAATGTGAGTTATTAAAATAAAAGGGTTTATTCAGAAATGATGTTAAGCATTTCAGACTCACTCTTGTTTAAAATCTTAAAGTTATTTCTGAAAATGCTTAAAAAATTTTAATTTTTTTTTTAAATTCATCAGCAAAACGAAAAGAAAATTCTACCAGCTGTGATTACTGAAGCCGTTGTGATGGTTGGCTTTGCCTTATACTCACTAGCGAACATGACAGTTGAAACACTTGTCGAAGCAATCATAGTTGGATTAATCCATTTCTATATTTTTACTGTCTTGTACTCACTGTACGTCAAAATTAGAAATGGAAATAGACGAGGTGTAATAAATGTGCAATTTAATAAATCACAAAATGTTTAAAGGATTTAAAAATGAGACGATTTATTATCAATTTTGCTTTCATTCTTTTATAAGGAGGATTGATTTTTAAAATCGAAAAATGACAAAAATTGTTTACAAAAATAATATTAAATCGCTTAATAAAATTGAATTGTTGACATCTGACCTGAAATTTCTATATTTTATATTTTAATAATTAATTCGAATAATGCATTAATAGAATGGTAAAAATTTTAGGATCAGGATATCTTTAGAATTTCTATTATACATTAGCTATTCATATGCAAAATTTATCTCTCACTTTACAAATTCTATGAATCATCATCAAGTTGAGAAGGTAGTTTCTTGATAGGCCAAATTAAATTCAATTCGTTACTACCAAAGTCCAAGAAATGACAGCATTTAATTATTACGTATGAAAATAATGAGCGATTCTTCATCTCATCAGTCGTGTTTTGTTTTTATTGATAACGTTATCATTAATATGAGAGAGAATTGGCAAGAGTTTTTTCAATATATTTCATTTTAGTAGAGAATTGAACTCTTTCTTGCAAAGAATTTTAAGTTACAATTAATTAATTAAGAAGTTTAAAAAGTAATGATTTTCAAGAGTTTTTTTGGTTTTAAATTAGAAATTGGGGGTTTAATTATTGGATGGTATGAAATATTTACTGCTTATTCTTATTTAAAGAATGTTTTTTTTTGGAAAAATAAATTCCTGGATTATAAGCAGATTTTGATCTTCAATTTTACAGGTTGGGTGTGATTTTAACAGGTCTATTGATCCCAGTATGTGTAGTATTAATGCAGGTTCCTTATTTAATATCTCGAAAAAGTGGAAGGACCATTGATGATAATGTAACTTTCTCCAAAGGTCAGAAAATTTTGTTATTTGTAAAGTCGGATCAGTGTGAAATCTGGTATATCGATCCAAATATAGGCGTGACATAGGCTTCTGTGGCGCAAAGATTTAGGTTAAATAGTGGATATTTGTAACACTTTTTTATCAGCGAATAAGTTGGATTCCCATTACAGACCAATCTCTTAATTATTATATAGAGTGATTCGATATGCCAGGATTTGCACAATGCTTACGACATTTAAACAATTATTTCTTAAAATTATAATAATAAAATGCAAAATTTCTTCGCAGTATTGATTATCATTCTATCGGCTTTTATATCATTATTAGCGTTTAGTTGTTTCATCTACTCGCTCTTGCTCCGAGGAATTTCAAATGTAAGTCACAAAAAAAAAATCAATCACATCAAAAAATTTAAGTATTGTTTTAAATTGTTTTAGAGATCACACAAAAAAATTCTTCCAGCTGTTATTCTTCTGGGAACTGGATTAATAGGACTGGGAATAGGAACATTAACTAGTTTAAGTATCGACTATAGCTCCGATGGAATTTTACAAGTAATTTCAGGATTATTGATTTACGGTTACATTTTTGCTATTATTTACTCATTGTATGTCAAAATTAAGGATGAAAATAAAAGTAAAATCATTGTTGCAGTGTAGCAAATCAAAACATTGATACTAAAGTCTAATTCTTCAATCAACTTCCAAGATTGATTTGCAAAACAATAATATTTTCTCCTCGATTTTTGTTCTTATTGAGAAATCTAATCAGTGAGAGGATTTAAAATTATTGAATGCAATAATTCTATTCAGATTTAAGCCCTTCTGTAAAATGAGCAGTCTCATATTTAATCAAATGAAAAAGTTAGATAAATTTTTGTGTCTGGATTTAAAAACAGGAGTGCAAGCAATTGGATTGTGAGTATTGAATTTGTGATGACAATAATAAAAGCTTGATAATGTTATTTTGTAGCTATCGAACTGTTTTCTATGGAGTTCTTTCAGTAATAATACTTGACTTGTTTGTGGAGCCTCCGAAAGAATTATGTGGAAAAGCCAAAAATGCTAATCGTCAAGGATCAACTTTTTCGAATCAGCACTGCGATCTTCTTACGACTTGTAAGAATTTTCAAACAAAGTAGAATTTTTTATAATTTTATAAATTTTTTTCAGTGCTGGTTGTCAGTTTCATCTATTCGATCATTTACTGTTTGGTGCATTTTGTTGTCCTTATTGGAATTTATAAGGTAGCGAATTTTAAATTAATTTCAAAAATATCCCTAATATAATTTTCCATAAACAGCGCAACCACAAACTGATTCTTCTAGCAATAATTGCACAAGGAATCGAGTTTCTAGTTCTGGTGCCTGCGCACTTGTTGATTATCTTTATTTTAAGTATTCAAGGATTGATAATATTTACTCTTATTAACATAGCTGTATTTTGTACTGATTACTATACGCTGAATGCATTTCACTCACTTTATCAGAGATTTGAACTGAAAAGTAAGGAAAGGAAACAAAAAATCGAAATAGTCTCTCTGAATAGTTTTGGTGATAATAAACAGACACTAACGGATATTTAATTTTGAAATTTTGAATAATTTTTTTATTTATTGAGCATGTTGGTCATTTTTTGGTGTAATTACAGGACATTTATAAAAATTTAAAAAATACATGAAATTTTCAAAAAAAACAGGATCAGGAACAAATCTTTAAAAATAAATATAGAACAGCCATTAAATAATGCAGCATCCATTGAAAAACTATGATACATGCCTAGTCAATGTATCATTTCTCACATGCGTATCATCTGCATAACAACATATTATTGCTTTGGATGGTGAAATATTTTCAATCATATTCTAATCTTGCAAATTGAATAAATCAGTAGTTTATTTGAGACGATTGAAATTTGTTTAAAAAAATGAACGGAGAACGAAATTGTGAGAAATGTGGAGGATTATTTTTGGGATGGTAAGTTTTTAAGCACTAATTAGAAATGATTTGAAATTTTCAAATTAATATATTCCCTTGAATTTTTAGGTTGCGATCAATTGTGTATGGTTATATTATAATTTCAATAATTCTTACGGTGTCAAAGAACCCACGTGAAAATTGTGAAAAATCAAAAAATGATTATGATTACAAAGTATATTTTACAAATAAAACGCCATTAACGTATTGTGACACTCCAGACGCAAGTAAAGTTATTCATTATTTGATATCTTTTTCATCTAAATCTATGTTGTTGATTTGTTATTTTTAGTAATTGCCGTCCTTTTCATTTTTTCATCTTTCTGGTTCGTTGTTAACATTTTGCTTCTCATCGGAATTCTAAAGGTTTGAAAGATTAATTTTAAATTATCCTTAAAAAAGTTTTAACCATTTTTTTGAAAAACATTTTTGATTTTTCATCTAGCGAAATCATAAATTGATTTAACCAGCTGTTATTGCTCAAGGATTTGAATTTGGTGTCTCAATTATATACTCTGTTATTTTTATAACTGTTTGTTTGCTTAATGGAGTAATATCTTATTCAGGTTTACTAGTAGTTCTTTGCTATTTAAATTTTTGGTACTTTAATATTCTTAAACTACTTTATAAAATCATAAAAAGAGACAATCGAATTGCAAATGCTAAATATCGTAATAATCAGGAAAATATTGTCATGGAAGTCTAATTTTAAATTTCTTAATAATTTTTAAAGCTTTCTAATGTTCCTACATAAATAATATTTTGTATTTTTACTAAGCTTTATAGTAATTCGAATAAAATGCACACTATGGATCTTTAAACTTTCTTAACAATTGAAGTTTTTATTCTTTAAATTGAAGGGGGGGGGGAGGGGGGTCTAAGATTTTGTTACGGTTCAAACAAGGAATTTTTTTTTTCATACAAATTTTGTTACGAGGGGGGGGGGTCTAAAAAGTCATTTTTTCGCGTTACGTAATAAGTGAACAGCCTAAGTGATTATTCATTTCTATTAAAAATCAGCGACATTTCATCGATGCTGAATATATGGCTGTGTTAATACCAAAGCAATTGAAAGGACATGCAGCAATAATTGGAACTTTTGAGATTGTAAGTTTTAATCAATTGATAATCTTGACTTCTTTTTTTGAGGAGGTAAAGGTATGAATGTATGATTTTCAAAAATTTAATTCATCGTTTAAAAATATTTATGTTTAAATGTTTTAGAAATTAAATTGTTTTTGAGATTTTTTTTAAATAGAATTGTTTCCATATACTTTATTATCCATATATTATCCTGTTGAATAAAGTCAAAATTTGTTAAAACAAATCAAAAATCAAATTTTAATCCATAAGACAAAATGTATTAGAACTCTCACATCACAACTCCTTCACTGCTAATCATAGTAAAGCAATAAAAAAACAAACAAAATTTCCGAGAACTAGAAACTGAAACCGAATCCGAGTGTTTAATAACAATGCACGAACATTTTTCTTTTGTTCCATTTCGTTAAATTCTACAATGCAAAAATAAAGCCAATTAATGCAACGACTGAAATGGAAAACTATTAATTGTTTAGAACTGTTACATCACAGTCTATAAAGAGAATTCAGCCGGCCGCAAAATATAACATGTATGCTAATTTGACTCCCCTTGAAGTGCAATTTGTGGGAATTTACAAAAAATTATTAAGATATCAAGATACAATCTCACATTAGTTCAATGACATTATCAAGTTTTATTGCTTTTTTTGCCAAAAATTGAAAGCAACAACACCGAATTTCGTTAAATAATTGTCAATGAAAGATGTCACGATCCACGAGTACTTAAATTGGCTTTAAACGAAAAATGGGTCAAATCGATTAAATTCTTTTCTTTTTAATTTACTATCAAAAAAAAATATTCAGAACAAATGTCTGGCTATTAAGAGTTCAAGGAACTTTTTTGCCAATTTGTTTTTAGACTATTGAAACTTGATATTGTGGATGTATTGTTGACGGATTGTCCGAATATATGATAAGGAGAGTTGGTTTACTTCAAAGAGAGTTTTGATATTTTTGAGGACCTTAGCAGAGGATTTCTCAAATTTTGCTCTTCGAAAAATTCTAGCTGTGTCAATAGCGTAGCTCGGAAACATAAACTGATGATTAACTGTTCCTTTACAGCTTTTCCGACTAAAACATTTAAGATAAACTGCCTTAGCAGGAGTGAAGCAAAGATTTGAAGCGAAATTCCATATTTAAAAGACTAGGATTTAGACCTCCTCATTTCTCATCCTTATTCCACACACTACGTCCCATCGAAGTCTAACTTAACAAATATTACGACAGCAAATTAAATTTGATTAGAATTCAAGATCATTTTAAATTTATTAATGAAATGGACCTTCCGGTTTAATACATTTTAATACAACATTCCATCAATTATATTCTGAAAAGTTCAAGTACATGATATTCATTGTCAAAAGAATTTAGAACAGAAGACAAAATTGATAAAGAATATTTTAATTTGAAATAAAAATAACGGATGGAATTTTTATAAAACATTTAAATTTTTAAAAACCGTTATTTTTATTTTAAAAACAAATAAATTACGCAATACAACTAAAAGATCATTACACAAAATAAAATAAATCAATTTTCACTGGGACCACAAAAGTTTCATATCAATTCCGTCAAAACATTTCATAAACAAGTCGTAAGATCATTTGAGTAAATTCGCGGTAGTGTCTAATGAAAGTGTATAAATGTGAATAGCGAATGAAGAAAAAAAAAATGAGAGAAATTTTTTTTTTGTATGTAATATAATAAAACTGGTTTCTGCATGCGATCGCAGTTGATTATTTTTATTTTACAAGCACTTGAACTTAGTTTGAAATTTGCCGTCGACTAGTGAATGCAGTTATTTACGCACTTGTGATCGCGATCAAGGATGTCGAATCATATTTGTTGAATTAAAATTAGATTTGTGATTTGGTTGGTGACATTTAGAATGAACTTGATTAATTTTGTGATAGAATTGAGGTTGTTTTGAGTTTTTTGTGTAGAATCGAATGTGAAAGAGAAACAGGATTGGAATTAGTTGTGAGATTCAAGACAGACAGACGCCTGTGAATGCTGAATAAAATAAATCTGGTTGTTCAACCTTTAAAGACGATATGTTAAAAAATTCATAAATGTTGAATATTTATTGCAATTTATTTTATTAAGTTTTAAATAAGTTTAAGTCAAGAAAAGGAAATTAAAAAGCAAAACTTAAAATTGAACTTGAAACTTGCTAAGAAGTCCGAAAGTGGAGAACACGGCAAGTCATTCAGAAAAAGTGTAAGATTTAAAAATGTAGAACATTAAGTGCTTCTAGATGTTATCAGTTCAATTACAAAAATATGGCGGGATTATTCTGTACTTATTTAGAAAGCTGCTTTGCTTTTTATGTTATCGATTGCAAAATTGAGAATTTAACTTTTACTGGAAAGTCTCGACCTCAATCTTGATTTTAAACTTCCTGAAAAATCAACCCAAGACTTAGTCTTGAGAAATTTAAACATCTGATTTATAAGAATATTAGCTTGCCTTAATTTTACTTAAGCTAGTGCAGTTAAGTGTCCATGAAAAGAGTTCAGTGATGGGCAACCTTTTTTGTGGCACGGCATAATTTGATGGTAAGCCACGACCAAAACTGCACACCGCACACGGTTCGTGAGCTTTCTAGAATTTTGTCTCAGCTCATTAGTTCTGCGGCACGTGGGTTGACCATCACTGCTTTAAATTTTCAACCTGATAAATTCGACAATTTAATCAGCAATTTAAAAAAATCTCAATCAATCATTTTTATTCATATATTCCTCACAATTAATCCCAAAGGAACCAACTTACCACTATCATAAATTTAACATGCATGAAAATGTACCGTAAAAAGCAGTCTCGTGACTTAAAACTCGTCCAGAATCACATGCTAATTTTCCTTTATGTAGAATATTCTCTCCTGTGTCTCAGCTCAATTATTTCTTTCCTCTCATCACGTGTTCGAGACAGTTTTTTTGCTGTCTCACAAGTGCAAATTTCGTACGAATGAGAAGCAAGTATGCAAAGAGTGTAATGGCATTTTGATAATATGCATGCGTTATGTTGAGTGTTTTTTTCTGTTTGTGCTGTATAAATTCAAATGTGATGTGTACTTACTGTGTTATGAAATTTTTCGTACAATTAAATTTTGTGTCTCTTTTATTTTATTTGGAAGTGATTCATCTCGTCTCGAATACAAAGTTGATTGAAAATGAAAGAGAGAGACTAGAAAGGTCATTTGAACGTGTGTGACTAATGACGAAATCTTGTAATGACGATGTACACCAGTGTTGTCCAAACTGTGTGCCGAGACACACTAGTGTGCCGTAGAAATTTTGTGTAAATGACGCGAGCCGAATGCTGAGTGCGATTTTGGTAATGGCTTATCCCTAAGGTGTGCCGTGGTTCAAAAAAGGTTGGACAACACTGGTCTACACTGTGGGATTCTTTGTCAGAAGTTTTTGGATCATTTAATTTGTTTAAAAAATATTTAAGTAAGATTAGCTTTTGGTCAATTGGTGAATTTAGAGCTGCAGTTTTTGGATTTC